GGCAGTGTTTCGTTTTGCTGTGCATAAGGTCACTATGAGTTGGTACCGACTCTAAGGCACCTAACAACAACAACCTAAGTGTAGACTGTCCCTGAGTGGCTCAACTACTAGCCAAAAGGCAGGCTGTTTGAACCAGGTCTTCAAACTAGTTCAGCCTGGTTCAGTCATGGCCTATGAACCAGAACGGACCTGAATTTTTATAATGTGAGGGAACCAGAAGGCTTGTCAGACAGGAAATTTTACAGGTCAAATGCTCTTACAGAAACTTCATCTCCTTCTTAGAAAACAGGGCAGCATTTGTTGTTGCTGTTAAGTGCCTTTGATTCTGTTCCGACTCATAAAGACTCTGCATAGGGTTTCTGAGGAGTGGTTGGTGGATTTGAACTACAGACCTTTTGGTCCACATTGACTTTGCAGTTCAATGCTTATCCTACAGCGCCATACCAGGACTCGAAGGGTAACACACGTCCTTATTCTTATATTATTAATGTGACTGTAATGTAAGGTAGCGGTTCAAGCTCACCAGTTGTTCCTCAGAAACCGTATACAGGGTTGCTATGAGTCAGAACCAACTGGATGGCACTTAACAACAACAAGGAATGTAGACTAAAAGTGTGGACATGTCCTTGTCCATTTTCTTGGCATAAATTCTAATTAGTACGATTACTAATCCAAGGGCATGCTCAAAATGAAATGTGGCCTTCGATACACATTGTCATGTTGGTCCTTTACCTGTAGAAATATTTCAGAAGCTTCATAGCCTTTATTTTCACTAACCATGAATTGAAAACAAACAAACAAAAAACATAATAAATGGTACAGTGATTCAGTTTTGTTTATAAACTAAGTTGTATTAAACACAGCAGAGGAGTCCTGGTGTGGCGCTGTGGGATAAACCACATCTTTCCTCTTGTAGAGTTGCTAGTAGGTCCAACCACTGACCTTTTAGTTAGCAGTCAAGAACTTAACTACTGCATCCCCAGAGCTCCCATATGTTTGTTGTTGTTACTTGCAGTCAAGTCAGTTGGCTCATAGCGACCCTGTATAGGGTTTCTGAGATTTTAAATCTTTGTGGGAGCAGAAAGTTTCATCTTTCTCCTACAAAGTGATTGACTGGCTCAAACTGTGGGTCTTGTGGTTCGCAGCCCAGTGCTTAACATAAGGAGCCACTGCACTACCAAGGTATAAAGCATAGAAGTAAATTATGGAGGAGTTAAGAAAATGTAAAATACTGAGAGT